AAATATATAATCTTATCATTGAACAATTTTTCTTAACAGAATCACAGATGATCACAACAATATTTCCTATTTTTTGAAGGTTATTTGAGGTATTATTATGTTTAGGTGCAAAAATTCTATAATGAATAACAAAAATATGCCAACAAAACTTGTCTTGCAAATTAAAACCATGCCAAATTAGTATTGTATCCGAATATATCGTTAGAGTATTGATGCTTTTCAGAATATCAATATTTTGGACTCTCCAAGAGGCAACTGTAAATATAGGAAAGCTCATTTTACATTTTGGGCGATTGTATAGGAAAGCAAACAAATATTATTTACCTGTTAAATTTACCCAATGTACCTTTGAAACAGCTTGTATCAGTTAAAATATTTACAGATAATAGATGTTACACAGTCATATATTATTAATACTATAGACCATTCCTGACCTTTAGCATTGCATTGCTTTAAGAGCTGACTAAATGCAATGCATTTAATGATATCCATAGAGGCCTGAGACTCATATGGAGACATGATGCAAACTCCTCTTCATGCAGCACCCAACCATCAAACACGGCCTTAGTTCTAGGGTTGAATAAACTGATGTTTTTACTTAAAAGGTAAAAAGGTATTAGCTGCATTATTATTTTCTTGTTGTATATTTATTTTATTAGACCTTTACTTAAACAGTTAGATGTTGATTGAAGACATAGTTAAGCACCGTTTTAGTAAGATCATAATATGTTCTACAGATTATATAAAAGATGAAATCAACTTATTCAGCACAATTTACTCACCTCTGAAGACACATTATTTGAGCTCCAGCACTATATAACCCCAAACTACATAACTTCTATGTATTGCTCTGATTTCCAGTGCATAGATCTTGGTAATAATGGGATGCTGTTAGGAAACCAGACCCAGGTCAGTTCAGCAGTGGGGTAAACTGAAACTATGGGGTTGAAGGGCTGCAGAGCTGGCTCTGGTTCTTTGGCGCCGCGTCCCCCTGAGCTGGGGAAAATGTGGGGGCTGTGCTTTAGCCTTTGAAGCTTTACCTCCCACTAATTCTGGCCTTCCAATTTCCACACACTACACAGAACCCCCCCTCCATTTTCCACCCTTCTCTTTGCCTTTGTTTCCCTTATAAGGATTCGCCCGGCCATTTCCTCTGCGTTTCTGTGGGAGGTGGTACGCTTGTTTGTGAACATGGACAGGTTGAAAAATACCAGCCTCATATAAAAATGTATTTACTTGATTCGGACTGTGCAACAGATTTGTTTAATTGAAATATAAAATGAACCATATACGAATGACACTTTTAATATGTTAAACAGATAAAGTTATCTTAATATGCTTTGTTTTTATTTTTTTCTATTTCTGTTTATTTAAAAGAAATGTTCAGTTAATAACATTTGATGGTTTCATGGATAAATATGAAATCATAGATGACAAAGTTTTTCTTGTAGGCAAAAGCTAATTTGACAGAAATGCCATCTGTTATGTTCCTTACCAGTTCAACGTACAGTGCATGGAAACAGATGGAGAGGTGACCATTTCCACACACCTACAAGGAATAGAGAAAAAAGTATGTAAGTGTATAGTGGAAAGGGTTCCCGCAAAGCCTTGAAGAGTCTAGTTTTTTTTGCTTTTTACCATAGGAAATCTATGTAATTGTTTTGATGATAAATTAACTAAAAGATATAATAAAAATCTGAATCTGAATTTTTCGATCGACTTTCAGCCTGATCGTGCGTCCTGCATCTGATAGTATATAGGGGGTTACGAGGTGCCATCAGCCTCTCACGACAACCTCCTGATCATGAATCGTAAGATTGGGAGAAAATCAAACATGTTTGAAATTCAGTCGGCCGTTGTGGGCAAATGGCTCAGTGCGCATGCACAAACATGATTCTTCTTCTTCCTCTCAGATGTAAACACAGAAGCATGGCAGGGTTGCAACAAGTGAAATGGAGTTCTTTCTGGAAATTGACAGACTGTAGTACAGTAGCCACGTTTGCTCAGCCATGTCTTCGTCCAAATACCTTAGGGCTTTCAGCACAAAATTGCAAATTGCCAAGGCAGCACGTTTCACTCTAGTGAGCGTCATTTCATCTTCTACTCGTTTGGCTGCCAGATAGACGAGTCCGAGTAGCGCCATCTCACTGCGGAGCTGAGTCTGACTTGGTTTTTAGACGTACAGTGTAAGCAGGTAGATCGCATCAGAGCGTCGGGTCGCACAGTGTGAGAACACGGATCATGAGCTGTGAACTTTTAAACCCTGCAGTTTTGTCGTACAGTGTGAGCTGTAGCTGCGTGCAAAGGTTAAAAAAATATCGCACAGTGTTTTTCCCAGCTTAAAGTCATTGTAAAAACTTCAAAAGCTATTTCCCTGAGTTCTTTGGTAACAAATCCTTTATATCTTCTAAATAGACCTGCGGTTGCATTCATAAACAATCTTTTTTTTTTTTTTTTGCTTTTAATAAAAAAATGTTTAATATAATTTATAACTTAACAGTTAAAATAATTTAAAATTTGGCTGATACAAGTTCGGAAGTTAAACTCACACTTACATTATTTTTTAATGTATAGAATATATGGATAGTAACAAAAACAAAGTAGTAAAACAAAACTCAAATATCCGGATAATATGAAATACTTTAAACTTTAGAACATTTGAGTCTGAAAAAAGATTTTGTCTCTGAAAAAATGTATAAACCTTAAGTGAGAAAAAATAACAAAAGAGAATAGTTTGGACCCAGATTCAGGTGCTGCCAGAATTTCCAGCAAGATATAAAAAAAAATATCAATTTCTGGACCGTATTGTGAGAATTATTTTGCTTGTGATAGAAAGTCATTTATTAAGGAAATGATTGTCCTCACTGCAAATTAATTCATTAGATTTTATTATATTGAAATAGCAGGAACTCGGCTCCCCACCTTGTAATTTCCTTGCTATCCAATCAGAGAAGCTGCAGGGGAGCAGATGTTTCTTAATCAGACAGGAGTTCATAAGGTTTGATTAATGAATTGATTCATAAAAAAAAAACAAAAAAGAGGTGTTATGAGAGCTGTTGTTCATATAAGCAACATTTTTATCAAATACCTTTGGTTTGATAAGATTTTAAATGGTCTCAGTGAAACTCTTCCACAGGTAACTCTTTTCTCTGTCACCCTTATTGTTTAGGTTTTTGCCTTTTAAATTAATCAATAATTAGGAATAACTGCATGAAATCTGCATTTTAAATGTTTCATTCTATATCCTGCTTTGCAAAATCTGGTAACACGCAAGTATATATTACGTAAAATCTGTATTTTGTATTTGGAACACTGGTTTATCAAGTTCATTGCTTTTGTGTCTCAACTTGTAGGTATTTAAATATTTAAAACGTGTAGTCAGTTTAAATTACCACATAAAACTAAATGTAAGAATATGAAATTGTTTACTGTTGAACCAAATGGATTCGCTGTATCTGAAGCCTAATTTAGCTTTTTAGTCATTTGCTGTAAAATCTGTAGTGTTTTTAGTTATTTCACACCTTTTGATCATGTTGCTTCTCAGCCATACAGAACAGCTTTTAAATCCAAATGCTCTAAAGTGTTTTAAACCGCTTACTCTGTATCAAATGGCAGAGGGCAAACTTAATATACACTAAATGCAATTGCATGATAAAAGCAAGGGAAACCCCAAAGCAGAGCTGAAACTGAGTTAACGGGGAATGCTTAAATATTCCTGGGGGGCACAAATATGCTCAATTGGGCATTACAGGAAAAAAGAAAAGCTTGGAGCTACACTGATCTGTGATTTTCCATAATCATGTATTCTAAAGTTGCAGTAGCAGTTTTTTTTAACTGGCTTTTGTATCTTATATTAGTAATTATCATGGCTATAACTAAATTATTATTCTAATTTCTATAGGTAATATATATATATATATATATATATATATATATATATATATATATATATATATATATATATATATATATATATATATATATATATATATATATATATATATATATATATATATATATATATTATTTTTTTTTTTTGCCTTATTCTTTTCAGTTCTGGCATGGTCCATATTAGATATTAAAACCCGAAACACAGCAGTTTTAGTCTGCTCAACCAGCCTTCTGGTTTTCTTCTGAGAGTCATGCTCTCTCTCTCTGACTCTCTGGTGAGAATGACATATTTCTATGTGTCATACAAAACTGATTTTCTTTATATAGCTTCTTACATCTCTGTGTTCCTTTTCCTACATTTTAAATGCATCGCTAAGTGCTGCACGGCCGCAAAGCTGACAGTCAATAATTCTAGGCACTGGCCACTTTCTCTGTGAATCTATAAAGCAAAGTTCTTACACAGTTATTGATTTAATTATTGATGATTTTTTTTTAATTTTCAGTCTGAAGGAGAAAAAAAAATTACTTGAGAATTAAAAAAAAATTTAGCTTTCAGACTCGTTAACCTTATTACTTAAGTATAGGATAAGAATTGGTTTATCTATACAATTTAAGTAACTACTATTATTATTATTTTTTATAACAATATTTTCAGTTTTGATCATTTAATTTTTTTGAGTAACTAGAAAAAAAAAAGAAAAATCAAAAAGGGTAAGTATACCTGCAAGTATGTTTAATGATGTATGACTGATGACAAACACCATTATGAAGGATCTGCATTCAACCCATGGTAATCTTGTCTAGATTTTTCTATTTATTATAGATTTCACCTGATCTCAATTCCCAATGTTGTCAGAAAATGTTGAAATGGCCCATTACCTCATTGGTGAATTGTCAGCCTAGGCACAGATGATAAAATATACTTTCATTCGTCTTCGTTCTTTATTGTTTTAGGATTTGATGGACTTCCAGCCGTCCATCAAATCCTCCAAAGATTTAAAATAATCCAGGAAATAAAATCTGGAAAATCAAAAGAACCATCTTAAAAGCTTTTGAACAAAAGTTGATGGGATTATTAATGTAATGCTTTTTTTTCTCTCTCTGCAAAGTTTCCTGAAGGCCAATGTAAGGACGTGGATGAGGGCTGAGCTACTGAGGAGGAGGAAGGCTTTGATGCCTGTCTCTTGCTGACTGGCCGGTTGGTCCACTAACGTCAAGTCGCACTCCCACCGAGGCAAAAAACGGGCCCAGTTAAAAGTCCTTCATTGCTCACCCCTTTCCCCTCTCCACCCTCACCCCCAACCCAGGGACATACGCACTGGACCATGTCTAGTGGGCTGTCGGAGGGACCCCAGACAGAGGACCTGGAGCGCAGTAGCTGCAAACAGGACTCTCCTGTCATAGAGCGCAGAAATCGAAGCGGCATCATCAGTGAGCCTCTCAGCAAGAGCCTTAAGAACTCTCGCACCCTTTCTCAATATACAGCAGTCTCCTCTGCTGCCACCAATGGACACACGGACAATAGCTCCACGAAGAGCCACTTGGCCAAGCCTCAAGCACCCCCAGCTCCCCCAGCCACTGTTTCCACACTGACAGCAGCCAAGTTGGACAGAACCTTAGAACAGGTTCTGGAAGGACAGAATGGCCTGCTGCACTTTGCCCAGGCAGCAGCACTGCTAAAGCGAGCCGGTATGGAGCACATGCTCCTGCCTGGGGGCATGGGAGTGGGAGTTGGCGGAGGAGACTCAGGCTCGGGGACAAGCGACTTGGAGGGTACGTCTGTTGCGGATGCCGTAGGTGGTCCCGTGGACTTCCCATATGGAGTAGGGGGCGGCTTTCCCTTCAATCCTGGGCTTTTCATCATGACGCCGGCCGGAGTCTTTCTGGCGGACAGCGCACTTCACATGGCCGGTTTAACAGAATACCCGGCACAGAGCGAGCTTGCCTCTGCCATCAACTCCGGCAAAAAGAAGCGAAAACGCTGCGGCATGTGTCCGCCTTGCCGACGGCGGATAAACTGCGAGCAGTGCAGCAGCTGCCGGAACAGAAAAACAGGCCACCAGATCTGCAAGTTTCGCAAATGCGAGGAGCTGAAGAAGAAACCCTCTGCAGCACTGGAGGTAAGACAGTTGTGAAAATGTGCTATCACTTAGTGAGCTGAAAGGATTGCTTGAATTGTTTTCATTCACAGCTACAGAGACAATCTAGTTGTATGAATGACAGTCCTTGGCCTTCGAATAAGAAAGAAAAATTCAATCATGTTCAGATGATAAAAAAAATATAAGAAGGAATCTGAGGTAAAGAGGAAAACTACAACAGAATAATACAGTTTTGTAATGACCTTCCCCTTTAAGAGAGTTAGGTAAAGTGGGACTGTTTGGTGGACTGAAGGTTTCACAAGCATAGAGATGACAGGTGGTGGGGAGAGTGGAGGGTATGTTCAGTGTAAGCGAACACCATGGGGTCTCTTTAATCTGCCCACTATGACCACACAAGCACCATGCCTACGTATTGCAACCTGAACACTGATTCAACCTGCCACAACAGCATAACCATATTATTCAAAATGATCTACTGCACATTATAGTTCCCTCTAGCGGGATCATTTCAGTCTGACCCAATGTAACTCTTAGTTTGCTCGCTTTTGCAACACAAATCTGAATAAACTGGTTTACCAGTTTGTGTTATAAGATTGGCAGTAATTGTGGATATGTGTACAATATGTGTTTGTATGTCAGTATACATGTGTGGGTATGTTTGTGTATGACTGTGTGTATAATGAGGTCCATCTGGCTGCAGAGCTGTCATCTGGAGCACCAGGTGTCAGTGTGGCACACTGCACCCCCACCCTTTCTGCTTGCCACTGTCCTTCTCTCCTGTGACACTCCCGCTCATCTAAATGGCCCTCCATGCTTCCTGTCTGCTACCTCCATCACACTCTGTGGCCTAACTAACCCTGGCCATGGTGGCAGGCGTTTCATCTTAGAAGAAACAAACTTTTATGGATAATAGTGTCACTATACCATTGTGTAATAAATTGATAGACATGAAACAATGTGTGAACATAAACCAATAAAGAGACCGCTGGTCTAATTGACCAAACTAAATCTATGCCGCAAACAGCTAATGGCCTTGCTACGATCTCTTTCTGATGGTGATTGGGAGTGACAGCTTGGTCTTGTGTTTGCAGGCTGAAAGGTTAGTTATCCAGCCCTGATGTGCTGAGCATGGACCCTAATAATGAGAAGCTCTTGAACTGGTTAAATGTCTAAATAACAGATTATTTAAAATAATAGAGTTATATTCACAGGTCAGGAGATCTCTGTATAATAAAGTTTTAAAAATGCTTTGCCAACTTGTAATCTCTTCAAGTTCTTGTGTTAAAGTGAGTCTGGTGAAGTAAATCTAAACATTATGTGACATTTATAAAAGCTTGGTCCAATAGCCTTGAAATTATATTGATTCCATGTTGAGACACTTTAAAGTAAGATAGGAAAAAGTTCTTGAGTTGCCTTGTTCTGCTGATAGAGTCAACAGAATGCTAGTTGCCAGGACTCAGAGAACTCAGCATTTTTAAAATCATTTATGGCACTTTTGGGTGCATACAAGAAAAATGATATGTTAAAACATTTATTGATAACTTAATAAGATTTTTTAATCAGACTACACTAAGGTGAATAGATTTCTGCTATCTAATATGGGGATATTTCCAGTTTTAGATAAAAATATGTACATTTCATAAAAATAAAAAATCGGAAACAGGGACAGTGATGCTTTCATCCATTTTTACATATTTTTAATATGTTTAATATGTAATGCATAAACAAAAATAAAGTGTAAAATCCAGGAATGCGTCTCTTCTATTTCCTAAGACAAACAATATTAATCAGTCAATCGTGTTTATTAGTGCCATCTGGTCAGTCAGTCTTCTCTGCCCTCTTCCATTGTGAGCAACATAACATTGTGTTCAGGAACAGGCCAGTTTGCATCAAGTCTGTAGGAATTTCCCTCTTTTTTCATCCAAAAAATGAACATTTATATATATATATATTGAAAAACATATATTCTTTGTGCACTATCTATTGATTAATTTGATTAATCGTAGGGAATGGAAAAGGCGCATTCCTGGATTTTACACTTGATTTTTGTTATTTAAATATCGGTAATAATAAATATGTAAAAATGGATGAAAGCATCACTGTCCCAGTTTCCTATTTTAATTTAAGATTGGAGTTCAAAAATCTGGTCACCTTAGTCTAAATGCAACCTTTTAGTAACAAATGTATTCAGCATCTAAAATACTTTTGTTCTGATGTTTTTTATGAAGTTTCATATGCAACAGCAAAGCGTTTTTCACTTTACAGTTTCGGACAGGGAACGTGCAGAAACAGAAGACCATCTGATTGGTCGAGGATAAAACAGCTAGAACAACTGGGTTTAAAAATACTTAAAGACAAAATTATCATGGAATATACATTTCAAACTGACTTTTACAAAACATTTTTAAGCATTTTTACAGTTTTTAGTTAAGAAAAAGAAAAATAAGAAAGAAAGGCAAATGATTTAAAAAAAAAGTTTGTTTATTATTTGCATAGTTATGAATAAGAAATTAAAGCTACTGTATGACAGCAGACTATGCAGGTTTGCCTTCAGCGAAAATGCATAATAAATAAAGGCTAACATGAAGGCAAACATGCTAAATGGACTTCACCAACCATTTTGTTAATGTCACAGATGCAATTCTGGTTGCTGGTGATTAGTAGATTAGTTTTGCACATGTTAAGTTTGGACATATTTTTTATACATACAAACAGCTTTTATTTATCATTTTTATTCTTACCTATAATTTCTTTCTTTCAGATTTTTTCTAAAAACTCTATTTCCAACTAAATAAACAGAATGTATGTAATAATAATGCACGGGAATCAATTATTGACAATATTAAGAGAGTCAAATTACGGTAAAAAGTAATCTCTAGTGCATCTTAAGTAAAGTTAAAGATCTTTGCATGTAGTGATATTAGCTGAGGATATGATAAAATTGATGGATAGTTTTCTAGTATTTTGTGTAATTGGTGATTTTAAGTTTAAAAAGAGTGCACATGTGTCCTGTGGGTTCCTGCTGCCCCTGTAATGTAGTGGCGATCTGTACCCCGCCTATCGCCGGATGACAGCTGGGAGATGGAAGCTAGCTGACCTAATTTTTCTGTGCACAAACAGCTTCTGATTGTAGCTTTCACCAACTAAAGCATCCCCGGATGATACTCAGTCCATACAGGCTCATACAATGCAGTAAAGTAGGAATTGAACTTGCACTATCCTTATATCACAAATCATTGATTGATAGGTCCAGCTCTCATTATTTTACTTGTTTCCTGTAGACTGTTTCTATGACAGGCCATGAAGAACTATATTTTCTCCAACAGTTTGAGATAAAGAACCGCTTTTCAGCTAAAACTTACTGGAAAAATACTTTCCTAGCTGGATCCATCACAACATTTTCTGTCAAAACTATGCAGTGGTGTGTCTTTAATCCCAGGTAGCATGTTTTATATTCAAGTTTACAATCAGAATCTGTTGTTTCGAATGGAGATCTTGACAAAAAACAAAATCAGGCAATCCAAAGAATTGGACAGTCTTAGACATGCATTTTAGTCCTAGTAGAGTCCAACAAACAACAAAAAAGGGAAGAAAAAGTTTTGCTAGCTGAAGTACGTGGTTAATTGGACATTGATCAGTTGTTCAATTACTATTTATTTTCACACTCACTAAGGTGCGCACATTTATACACAGAAATCTGTAGATCAGTTGGGGTTAAGCACTTAGCTAAGAAAAGGAAGCTGGAATTGCAGCAACAACCTTCCCAGTATGATGCATTTTGACTTGCAGCAAAATGCATCATTTCATCAAGTAAGAAGTTAGGTACTCACTGACCAAAACAAAGTTATGAAACAGTAAAAGATTAGAGATGGACTGATACATCAGCTATGTTGATATTTTTGGAAGATATTCTTTTTTCTTCTTTTTTTTTCACCATTAGCCGATATGTGGATTTGTTTGCTGATTGATTAGTGCATTCAGAAGCCATGTGTTAAGATCACATAAGGCTTAGGGAAGGTTATCAGCTCCCTCCATTTGCTATCCATTGCCTTATCATTGTTATTTTTATCGTGTAAAGGGAAGAAGAAGCAACAATGCACTAAAGAATCGGACCCAAATAATCTGCAACGTGTTAAATTATCAGCATTAGCATTGATCTTGCAAAGAATAAAAAAATAAATAATTACTCAGTCTCTAAAAAGGATTAAATCAAATGGACGAAGCAGGGGAATCACATCCATTGACTTGGAGAGTCTCATCTCATTGGCTTGTTTTTTTAAGTGAATGTCACATAGGACCAAACAGTAAAAAACAAAGTGTTACTTCAACGCCTAGAGTTAAATTAAACTCTATTTCAGATAACATTTGGTTACACTCCAAATTACTGTTAAACTCTACTACTCTATAAACTTTTCAGAGTCAATTTTTTAGTTTAGTGTCAAAATCAAGACCTCATAGAGACTGACAGGCAATCGAAAATATAGAGTAAAAATTGCTTCTGTTTAGTGTAAAAATAGTTTCCCTCTAAGATTTGAATACCAATTTTTTTTACTGTGCAAGGGTAGATCGTTAGAGTATTGTTGTCAGGTCTGATAACCTGATCATTCTTTCATAAGGTGTTTCATGTTTTACCTCTATCAGTGCCAAAATTATTTTCTTGAAAAAATATTTATTTTCTTGATTGCATCCAACATCACTGTGACTACCATTTCTTAATTCTAATACAAACACAGAAAAATGTTACGTAAGTAACTGCTACTTCTTTGTAATGCGTTTTTCTTCAAATTAACCAGAAAAATGTTTTTAAATGCTAATGCTATGTTCAGACTGCACACTGCTGAAGCAGCAGGAGCAGCTGGTTTACATGCAAAGTCAATGGCTGACGTGCATCAGGGCGCATCTAAAGGTCCTGCAGCGAGTTTCGAGCAGCAGGAGAAGCACCTCAGGACCAATCAGAGAAGCTGATCTGGGAGCTCTATGATCACGCCTCAGAAACCGGTTTTTCATGCCTAAATTAACTA